ATTTATATACCAAATTACGCATAATTTATCTGAGAATAAGATCCTGAAGTCAGAACTAAGATAGAATTTGCGGTTTTGAAGTAATCTTGCAAAAACCTGTCCTAGTTATGCCTGTCAGTAGCTGTATCTCTTAACTTTTTACGATAGGCGCTCATTGGGAGAATAACCGATTGTACATATCTGATAGACCAAAATGAAACGTATATCTGAAAATTTGCTTTTATTTCTTATTCAAACATTGCTTTTCTGTAAAGTTTGAAATTTACTTATATTAAACCTTATAAATTCCATACTTTACAGAAAAGCAATGTTTGAATAAGAAATAAAAGCAACTTTTCAGATATACGTTTGATTTTGGTCTATCAGATATTATAACCTTTAGCACGTAGTATATGATTGAAATGTACAGGCTTCGATTAATATCGACTATCCCAATGAGCGCCTATCGTTATAAGTTAAGAGATATAGGCTAGCTTTGGCTACATTGACAATAAAACAACTGTACATAACTGTACAAATTATGTACATATTTTGCGTAACGCTTATTCGGATTTTTGCGATAATAGTACGCCAATAGTATCCCGATACAATAAACTCCCACATACGTAATCATGTTCAAGTAAATTTGGTTAACAAATCTAGAAATAATTTTTCGACTATTACTAACAGTATTATGATTTATGTAAAATTTAAAACTAAATCTAAGTATTTTTATATACTTACATACTATTAGTTAATTGGGCATTATTTTGTACATATATTACTCCAGTTGCAATTATGCTTAGCATAATAACCAACAAATTAATTCCAATACCCAGCACCTGTTTTCTAAAAGTATAATTTTTTTTAAATATAATCATACCTGTATATTCTTATCCATTGTATTGTTAAATTTAACATTAATATTAAAATATATTTAATTGTACTTGATTTGTTTAGCAGTTAAAAATTCTATTAATAAAGGTGAAATTAGGAAAAGTTTCCATTCGACTTGTAATGACCATGTTGCTCCAATACACTACGGATATAATAGACAATTAGGTTTATCAATAACTAGGTTATAAATGAAATAGAAATTAATTGTACAGTGCTCAGCAATCCATTAAACGGTTTAAAATTGAGCAAGGTGGCCCACCAATTGTGATGGCAAACTCCAGATATAGCATTTATATACTCGTGCCATACGGGCCCCGACCCCAACACCTCTAAAAGGATGGTAAAGGCAATGACAGCGCCGACGGATGGCATTAGGCGTACGAATCGGTGAATGATTTTACGGATCGGAAACAAATAATTGACGGCTGAAGTGGTGTCCGTCCCATGCGATCGGCCTAACTGTCCATTTGCTCGAAGCAAACCACTTACCATAAAATAGGTGCACATGGATTGCATGACACATGCTTTTAGTACGTCACTTGATATCCTAAAAGAGATGTCCCACCTTAACATTGTGAAAGCGATTCATGATATCGATGGTGCATTTCATAGCCCCCACTGACCCCCACCAAACCCCCAAATATTTTGAAAATTGAT